ATATATATATATATATATATATATATATATATATATATATATATTACTAGCCTTATTGCATATGTCACTTTACCTACACCAATATCAAGGACTTCATACATACACTGTACATTCACTTCATATGCTGCTTTGCCACTCACTACAAATATCAATGTCAGGAACTTCATTTCATTTTATTTTTATAGATATACTTTTTTTTTTTATTATACCGCTATAGTACAATTTAAGACAGTATCATGCTTTTATTATTTCATTTTATGCTTATGTTTATTAAATGTTTTAATATTAAATGGTTTTGTTGCACCAGGGTCTGAGAGGAATGTAATTTCAATCCTGTGTACGTCCTGTACATATTGCAGTTTTTGACAATAAAGTGACTTTGACTTTAATACAAGAAAGCATCTTATTGTAGTTTCGCATTTTTAAAAACAATTTGATTAAAAAAAATGCAGTTATTTATTATTGTCTAAAATATGAATTCTTGGGGAATAATTGGGAGTTACAAAGCTAAAATATTAGACATGATATTTTAGCACAACTAGCATTTGGGTTCTTCATTGTCACTAAAAAGTTAAAATTTAATTAAAAATAGTCTATCCTTTGTCAGATTCACATCAGCTTAAAACCTAAAGGTGTAGGTTGCTTTAATGTCACTGTCTGAGACAACGGTAGTTTAAAAACCTTTTTTCAGCTTTTTACTATAAATCAGTTTAAAACACGTGTGTAGTTTTCATTACTCACCAGCGTATTGTTTTTGTACTATTAGTGCTTAGTGTATTTAGTTCAGCGTATATCTTAGATCTTATTACGGTTTTTCTTTTGTGTGTACACAGTTTCGTTCCATCACGTGTACCACATGTGATGAGAATGACAATAAAGACCCGTGACTTGATTATTGTCTCATTACCGGAGACAACGGTAATTTTTAAGACTGTTTTCACATTGGATTAAAGCCTAGATGTATAAGTTGCTACGTCACATTACCAGAAACAACGGTAGTTTCAAACCCCTTTTTCAGATTTTTATTACACATCTGTTTTAAAAAACTTGTGTGTATTTTGCCATATTGTCACACTACCTTTAAGAAAAATACTGTTTTGAATTTACATTAGTTTAAAACCTAAATGTGTAAGTTGCTTTAAGTGACTTTGTCAAAACTACCGGAGACAACGGTAGTTTAAAACCCCCATTTCAGATTTTTATTACACATCAGTTTTAAAACTTGTGTTTATGTTGCCATATTGTCACACTACCTTTTTAAAACCTAAGTATGTAAGTTGCTTTATTACTTTGTCAAAACTACCGGAGACAACGGTAGTTTAAAAACCCTTTTTCAGATTTTTATTACACATCCGTTTTAAAAAACGTGTGTATTTTGCCATATTGTCACACTACCTTTAAAGAAAAATACTGTTTTGGATTTACATTAGTTTAAAACCTAAATATGTAAGTTGCTTTAAGTGACTTTGTCAAAACTACCGGAGACAACGGTAGTTTAAAACCCCCATTTCAGATTTTTATTACACATCAGTTTTAAAACTTGTGTTTATGTTGCCATATTGTCACACTACCTTTTTAAAACCTATGTAAGTTGCTTTATTACTTTGTCAAAACTACCGGAGACAACGGTAGTTTAAAAACCCTTTTTCAGATTTTTATTACACATCCGTTTTAAAAAATTTGTGTGTATTTTGCCATATTGTCACACTACCTTTAAGAAAAATACTGTTTTGAATTTACATTAGTTTAAAACCTAAATATGTAAGTTGCTTTAAGTGACTTTGTCAGAACTACCGGAGACAATGGTCATTTGAAAAAGACAGTTCAAACCAGCAATCCCCCATAATCCATCAGCTTAAACTGAAGCACACGGACTCAGAACCAGCCCGAGGTCACGCAGGCCCAAACAACTCCTACACCGCCACCGTGCTTGTAAAAGGCCTCTGCGGCTCATTTTGTAAATACGCTGGTTTGTTTAACGATCGGGAGGGGAAAGTACCACCTTGTAAACAACCAGAATAGTTTAACGGGTGAAATTTTATCCAAACGGAGAAACCAGAACTGTGGGGAGTCTTTAACCGTGTGTGGCATTTCTAAAATCAACCGATGCCTTTCGTAAATACGAAAAATCCTCAAAAACAGTTTTATAATTGGCTAAAATCTTGTTAAAAAAAAGTTGTTAATCACAGCTAAAACTGCATAACTGGGTGACAATATGTTAATAAATTTCTTATTGTAAAGTAAAATGAGATGGTAAATTACTAATTCTTTGTTGTGGAAATGGGTATTAAAAAAAAAAAGAATAATTTAGTCTTTTCTCTCTTTTTTTTTTTTTGTTTTATTTTTGTCTACATGTGAACATATTAAAATCTTTGGCTTGTTTTGAGTCTGTGGACGGCTCTTAGTTTAATGAAAAACACGAACGACAGGCGATCACGAGAAAACTATAAAAACCAGACATCCTAAAAACCGGGACACCTCGACAGAACCGAAAGCGGATGAGACGCGATCCTGAAATCAAGTTACGCTGCGGTACAATGATAACTGTGTGGCTATATAAATTTTAATTATATAATTGTGTCCATATACCGTTACCATAAACAGAAATCTGGGTTTTTTAAATAGCAGTTCTTGTCCCATCTCCTGGTATCCAAAGAGTCCGTGGGGCCCCTGAAGGGAAGAGTCCGGGCCCCTCATTCGCTCTCCTCCTTGTCTTCCTGCACCGTGGTCGTGGAGTGGTTGTAAAGTCCTTGAGCCATGAGCTGCAGCGCCAGCCCGTTCTTGTAGCCGCTGGCCTTTTTAATCTTGGCCCGCTTGTTCTGGAACCAGATCTTAATCTGGGACTCGTTCAGGTTCAGTTCCTGGGCCAGAGACTGTCTCCGCTGCTCCGTTATGTACCGGTTGGCCTGGAACTCGGTTTTGAGTCTCTGCAGCTGCTCGGCCGTGAACGCCGTCCGCGGCCGCTTGTCCTCCTTGCTGTTCTTCTTCTTCTTCAGTTTGCGTGTCCTGGGGCCTGGTGTGGAAACAACAATGGAAACAAAAAAGATTTATTCTATTAAGCTGCACCAAGGGGCACCGTGGGCTGAAAGCTCCGGGTTTTACCGGAGCGTCTCGGTAATTATCTGCAGTAAGAGCTCAGATGTAGGTCAGGAACGTGGGAATGAATTACGATTTCATCTTGAGTAAATAAATAAATATCACAAGACTTGTCCCAAAATGAAACGCAAACGTCACATTTTAATGTAGCCTATCGTTATACCTTCATTTGGACAAAATGATTTTTATGGTCATTTAAATAATAATTCAGCCCTAAATAAAATACTAAATATTCCTGAACAAGCACTCATTTTAAATTTTATATAAAAAACAGGTTTTAATTTATTGAAGCTCACATTAAATATAGCTTCGTATTAACTATTTTACTAACATTTTAGCCTCAGGTAGATTATTTTTTTCCCGTTAGCTTACAATGCACAATATAATTTTCATAGTAACGTTTTAACAACAACAAAAATATATATTTTTTGAGCTATAGTAGATAATTAAAATACTTCACAACTTGTTCAGAACTACTTTTACTTAAAGGGATAAATATTACATGATATTTTATTAACATTTACAATAAAAACAACATTATCTTAATGTAAACACATTCTAGCTGATAACTTTATATAACTGGAATTTGATGGAAACACTAAAAGTAAAATTAATAAGTTAAAAACAATAAAACAATAATGGTCATTAATGTTTTAACATTAAAAAAAAGCCAAATTACCATTTACAGTGTGGCTTTAATAGGAGATAAATTTGTATAAGCTCATTTTAGCCTAAAAAAACATTATTAAATTGTGTTTTAATGTAGGGGACAGCAGCTACAATATGGCTAATTAATAATTAATAACAGGTGCGTTTAATCGCAATAAACAGGAAACTAACTGTTTTTAAGGTTGTAAAACATGAAATAAACAACCCTAAAAGCAAGTTTACATTTATGAAAACGTGGCCAAAACTGGTTAAAATTTAAATAAAAAATAACTTTTTTAAATTTAAATATTCACTTTTGACATTAAAACCAGGTTGAACAGCTTCAACACAGTCACAATAAATAAAAGTCAAACTTGAACAAATAGAAGACAAAGTGATAAAAATTAAAAACTATTTACTGTAAAACAGAACTGTTAAAATGAGCCTTTAAATGTTAATTATCTTAAAAATATTAATAGTTAAAAAAAAGTTTGATTTTAGCTCATTTAATTAAAAAATGTCAATATTGTTTTAAAGCATCTAAACATGCATTTTTAATTTATTTAATTTGCTCCAATTTTTTTCAGTTGAGTCAAATTCATTTTCAATTATTTCGCCTACAAATTATATAAACTACAACAATGGCGGAGGTTCTTAACTCCCCCTTAATTTGACGTCTATAATTTTAATAGATACAAAAAAAAAAGATTTTGTTTAAACTAATTAAAAACTGAAAAAATCCGCATTTATTACATTTTATGATTAAATCGTTTAAACGAAAAGTTAAAGTATGGGGTTTATAATTATGTTTTTTAAAGCACACTTTTCATTTAAAATATCTTTTTCATTATTTTTAATCGATTAACAACATTATAAATATGTACTTTGCGCACGGTGATTTCCAATTTCCTATTTTTTGACCGTAGCCTGAACACGTCTGAGACCGGCGGGCTCCGACCGGGCCGGTCCGGGGACCATAGCGCCTTACCAGATGAGGGCCGGTCCGAGTAGCGGGTGCAGTAGACCCAGGCGGGCCACAGCAGCGGCTGGCTCTCCTTCGTTATCGGCGGCGGGGTTCCGTCCCCGCCGTTCAGAACCACGATGGACGACGGGCTGTCCGAGTACCGGCCCGCGCCGTCGCCCTGCTTCGCCGAGCTCTGCTGCGACTTCGGCGACGACGAAGAGGACGAGGCCGGCGACGAGGCGGCGCTGTCGCTGCTGGAGTCCAGGCAGAGGCCGCCGGCGGGCAGCGGCTGGCTCCGGCCGCTCGCCTCCCTCCTGCAGCCGAAGTCCGGCCGCAGGATGTTGTCGATGAAAAAGTTCGTGGTTCGGTGGGCCTGCTGGGCGGCCTGGTGGTGCGGCAGAATCAGAGCCGGGGACGGGAGGTTCGGCGACAGCGAGACGCCGCTCTCCTCCTCGCTCGGCTCCTTGCGCTCTTCCATCGCCGCTGATGGGGAGAAACGTCCACTTGTTGCCGGCTCTCCCTCCCCGTCTTCTGGGTCCAGATCAGTCGGACAGCATGCAAACCGAGCCTGCTGGTTCGGATAGAAGCCCGCGGTCGTTGACTCCTACAGCGGCGACATGCCTCCGAGCCGACGCGGCGTCGCCTTGGAGCTCCACGACAACAATCAGCCTCCGCTCCTCGAGCTCCACTAAAACTCATCGCCCGCTCCCGCCTCTCCGCGCGCTTCTTCATTCTCCCTGCCGGAAGCACGTGTGCGCGTGCACTTTTCGGCCAATCAGACGCGAAGACCGTCCCTGTCACAATTAACGCCGTCCAATCAGAGGCCAGGACGGCTCGGCGCGAGACGGAGAGGTCAATAACAAGGAAGCGCTGGAAGGAGGTAAGAAAACAAAAACAAAAGGCCCGACATGTTTAAAAAATAAATAAAAACAGAAACAAAGGATCACGTGAAGGGCTGTTTTAGCCACATATGAGCCAAAATAATTTACCAGGAGCTGAAAAACGAGACAAAAGCAGCTAAATAGAAAAATAGTTCAAAATGTATAAAAAAAAAAACACTTTTGGCTTCAAAATGAATAAAAACTTGAACTAATTCAAGTAATTTTCATTAAAAAAAACTGCATATTTGATTTATATAAACTGAAAAATTAAGGATAATTGATTTATCCACTTAAATTAGTTATTACACCTATAAGGGGCACATTTTTTCTACTTTTATCCAATTTTTTTTAGGTTTTAACAAAAATAAACAAGATTTTAGGCGACTATAAACTCCTTCATAGGCCTAATAAATAGAGCTTTAAGTGTTTTAAAGCTCTAATTGGTGATTGGAACAAAGAATAATATTAACAGTGATAATAAGGTGGAGGAAGTGCGGACGTGTTGATCTGCGGTGAAATCTTCATCCCGCGGGCCCGACTGCGGAGCTGTGGCTACTTAATTAAATTCCAATTAGGACAGTATCTTCGTGGCTCAATGAGCTCTCAGTTCGCTCTTATCTGCCTCCGCAGAACATCGTTTATAGCTTTTAATTAGTCTTCACCCTTGGGGGGGGCGGGGGGTGCCTCGCTCCCCACGCTTGTCCCGGTAAGCTGGGCCGAAGAAAAGCCCAGTCCAGAGCTGCTGTCAGCGCTCCCTGGCAGGGCCCTTAATCAAAGCGAGGCGGGGGCCGCGCTACAAGCCGCAGTAATTTCCAAGGTGCTGATAAAGCTCGTTGAATAATGGGGGGGCGCCGCGGAGACGCCGTTCACAGAAATGACTTTATTGACGGCTCAACGTCGGTGATTCATGCTACCTTTCACCGACCCGGAGCCGGATTTGTCGCCATAATGGGATGATGAATGCAGCCGGCCGATTGCAGCCGGGCTTTTATTGAGTAGCCCCATAAAGTCGCCGTGCACGCACGCACGTGCACGCCGAGAGCCACGATGAGCCTGTTGTTGGAGGACGGTGGAGACTCCACATGAAGTGTTTCTGTTTTCTGCACAGAAACCAAACACCAACCTATATATATTTATATATATTTATTTATATTTATATATATATTCACTGCGTTCATTCGTGCGACACCAAGCCCCAGAATTTATTATAAATACAATGTTTTATTTTTTTGTTAATTCAAATAAAACTCTTAAACAGTGACAGTAAAACCGCAACTTTTCTGTTTTAAGGAAAATATTTGCTTTATTTAAATCCTTATTTTTATCCTAAATATTTTTAATTGTGTATATATATATACATTTATTTTTACTGACACTTTTTAGGCTTCTCTGTGTTGTGAAATGTTTAAAGTTCTTACAACATTTGCTCCGTTTAAAGTATTTTATTCGTTAACTGAGTCTCTTCTTCAGAGGCGTTTACTGCAGCTGCTGTGCTCTGCTGCCCCCTGTGGACATGAACGGGAACTGCAGGTGTGTGT